ATTCTCATCCTCGCTTCCTTTTCGGTGGCCATCTGAATTTTTACAAGTGTGTGTGTGTGTGTGTCTGTGTATGTTGGTATTCTGTTTTTGACTTTGAAATTTAGGAAGAAGGTGGGTTAAATTTGAATTTGCGGAGGAGACAAATAAGAGTTGAAAGTAGTGTAAATTGTAATCTTTATCTCGTGACTGCTGGGTTTTTGTGCTTATCTTAATTGAAGTGACCCACTAATTCTTTATTTATTTATCTATATATTTACTATATCATTTAGAGATTTACGGTATTGTTATAGAATCATTCTGTTAGGTATCGTTACAGAATCATTCTGTTGGATTGTAACCGTTAAATCAATTATCTCAATAGTTACATGATGATCTAACGACTACAAAAATCGACTAAATAATTTCGCAATGAGATCGTAGCATTTCCATTTACAAGCATGCAATTACTTAGAGCATGATTGGATACAAAAATTTCTCAAAAAAATCCAAATATTTTTAACTCAACCACTTTTTTAACTCAACTTTAACTCAACCCACTATCATCAATATTATCAATATAATTAAATAATATCAATCAATCATTCTTACACAAAACATCAACCTTAATTCACTATTCATCTACTCACATAAATTTAATTAACTATCACATTACATTTTCTCTCTCTTACTTTTACATCAATTTAATTTTAATTATTTTATTTTAAATATTATTTTATTATATTCACTAACAACTAACCAGACCTACTTTTTTCAAATTTAACCAACCCAAATCAAAACAAAAACAAATTTATATCCAAACATGCTCTTAACATATTTCAAAATTAGTGAGTTCTTTTTTAGATGCCCCCAATATTTACTATTTTACCTATTGCCAGTTTTATTATCTATGATGGTTGCTACCACGTGTTAATTTGTGATTCAATAAACCTTAAGAAAACGCCACGTACGTCTTTGCTAAATTATTTCTTCTTTATCGACAATTTATTAATTGTTTATGTTGATGATGATACATAAATAAAAATAATGCCGACATACTTGTTTAATCTTTTATTAAATTATTTAGAGGGCAAATTCTATAAAAGTACCTAGACCCCTTTTCAACTTTCAGTTCAGTCCCTTCCTCTAATTTTCTTCCACTTTACTCCCTCCCACTTGCAATAAAATAATAACCCTCTTAGTATTCCCACAATCCATTTATCTTTATTCAAGTCCAGAAAATTAGTACCAGTTTATTTTGGAATCGTACCACTTTAATATGAGAATAGTACCAACTTTATTAATACGTAGTACCAAGCTTTTGTACCTGAATTTTCC